AAACCTTTATCAGCCTCATTCAACAAGTATATGAAGATGCCACATGCTCAGTAATTCACAATGGGAAGCTCAGTGATGCCTTCGAAGTGAAGTGAAGACAGGAGTGAAACAAGGTTGCCTACTATCCCCCATGATATTCCTGATTGTAGTGGACTGGATCATGCAGCAAACAGTGGGGAGTGAGAAGAGGGGGATACACTGGACGACGGAAAAGAACCTAGAAGACTTGGATTTCGCCAGTGATGACTTGTGCCTCATGTCACATAAACTTGAAGATCTGCAGGCAAAAACTAACAAGTTGATAGAAGAGGCAGCGAAGACGGGACTTCAGGTGAATATAGAGAAGACAGAGGTGATGAAGATACCGCACCAACAACTCCAACAACAACAACAAACTCCAATCACCATCAATGGGGGAAACTTAAAGGAAGTAACCTCCTTCACCTATCTAGGAAGCACTGTTTCAACTACAGGTGGCACACACGAAGATGTCAAAGTCAGAATCGGAAAAGCAAGAAAGGCGTTCATTAGCCTGAAACCAGTGTGGAGATCTTCTGCACTCAGCATGTGGAACAAGATACGGATTTTCAACACCAATTCAGTCAAGTCAGTGCTTCTGTGTGATGGTTCAGAGACTTGGCGCGTCACGAAAGGGATTTGCAATAAACTACAGACATTCATCAACAACTGCTTACGCTGTCTCGCTACTGACGATCAGATGGATAGCCAGAAAGAATAAGCAACAAGGAGCTGTGGGAACGAACCAACGAAGCAAGAACCTATCACGCAACAAATATGCAGTGGGAGGAATTGGAGATAGATTGGGCATGCACTGAGAAGACCGACTGGGGACATCACTCGTCAGGCCAGTTGCTCGAGTGGAATCCCCATGGGAAGCGACGAGTTGGACGTCCGAGGTGAGGGTGACATGGAGGAGATCGTGCGAGGAGGAAATGAGAGCTTGTGGGCTGTCGTGGAACCAGGTTGAAAAGATCTCGGAGAACAGAGGTGACTGGAGACGTGCTACTGAAGCCCTATGTTCCATTAGGAACCAAAGGGACTAATTATAAAGCCTCAGGTCAGTGATATTTATGGTAGAGTAATATGAACATTGAAGTTCAGGGTTGGGTCATTTCATTAGTGATTCAAATGTGTACAAAGCAAATCACGTTTCCAATTTAGATGATTTTACGACAGTATTAGAAAACAGTAGCATATTCTATCCTGTTTAATATAATAAAAGACTTGTGAAGTCTCAGAAACGTGTTCATCACTTCATTGAAGTGTTTGACGAAAAACATCGCAAACATTCTTTGGCTAGAGATTATCTATCTATGAAGAGGTCAACACAGAGGGAAACCAATGAAAGGTAGTGACAAGAAAGAAAGAAAACAATGAGCTAACCACTTCACTAACTCTTGAATCGACCACCACCACCTACAACTCATTTAAGAATATCAGCAGCAGCAACAGAATTATCAGTTAACACAAGCCCTCCGACAAAAGGAGAAGTCCTGAACGCCATAAAGTTGCTGAAAACTGGGAAAGCAGCAGGACGTCGAAGAATTCTTCTGGAAGCACTGAAAGCAGACGCAGAGACATCAACGGACATGCTCACATCACTACTGCAGAAGGTTTGGAAGGAAGAAAAGAAAGGTACCTGCAGATTAGAAGAAGGCCAACCTTGTCAAACTCACAGGAAGTCTTTTGCTAGAACTGGAGCGGAATGATGCTTTTGTCTACTCCAAGGAAAACATTGTGCCGCATCATCCATGGGAGACTAAACAAGGCTCTGCACTGAAAATTAAAACAGAAACTGACTAACTGGATTCAGGAAGAACAAATCATGTGTGGAACGAAATGCAACCCTATATTACGGCTCATTGATGCCTTTAAAGCGACATGAAGACAGGGAGGAGTTAGACACGATTGGACTGGACCATGCGACAAACAAATGTGAGGAGCAAGAAGATGGGAATACGTTAACTGTTTGACAGATTGGAAGACACTAGAGGATATGGATTTCGCCCTTGGTGATGATTTACATTTAATGTCTTATGTCACACAAACGCGATTATTTACAGTCGAAAAATGACAAGTTGAGAGGAGTGATGAGGCGAGATGAGGCAGTGAAGGAAGATGGGACATCCTACAGGGGAACGTGAACAGGTGATGGAGATACTCAACCAACTTCAACAACAACAACAACAACAAGCATCAATCACCACCAACAGCATAAACTTGAAGGAAGTTGTCTGTCTCATCTACACACCCACATAGGCAGCATCGTTCGAACAACAGGCGGTGGCACAGGCACATATGAGGACGTCGAAGCCTGAATCAGAATCAGGCAGCAAATGAAGGCGTTCCTGCATTGAACTGAACTAATCAGTGTGGAGATCTACTGCATTGCACTCCACTCCACTCCACTTCCCTGCACTGCACTGCATTGCAGTGAACTCAACATGTGGAACGAGATCCGTATTGTCAACACTGATGTAAGTCAATTCAGTGCTTCCATATGATGCTTGAGAAATGTGGCGCGTCACGAAAGGCATTTCCAACAATTTGTAAACATTCGTTAATAGCTGGTGTCTCGCTCACTGTATACTGAAGATGAGATTGGATGGTGAGAGGAAATCAACAAGTAGGAAGGAACGAGTAATGAAGGAAGAAGGTATGGTGTAATTGATATGGAGGAGAAGAGAATGAAGATAGATTGGATTGGACATACACTGAGGAGACGCTTTTGGGATATCACACGCCACGATATCTAATCGAATTCAAATTAGAGACGAGGAACTGAGCATTAGTGTGTTAGATGTAGGAAGTTGGTTGAGGACGAAATGAGAGGTGATAAGCATTCTTGGATCCGGTTTGTGAGGACTGAATGGAACAGACTGAAATGGTGACTTGCTACTGAAGCCTTATATTCCACTTGGGACCCAAGTAACATATAATATTTTCTTTTCAATCATGAATCTCTTAGTAGGACACTCATGATGCTGTCTATTTATTCCAGTGTATTCACCATTACCTGTCTTCCTAGGAATGAGTGAATAGCAATCCAACCAATCACATGTCAATATATCTGTTCTCAATGAAACTATCTACTTAGAAAACTTGTTTCAAACATTCTGGTCACCTGGGAGCGAATCAACTGTAAATCATGATGAATTTCAATGAACTAAGATAGATCTGAAGTCATTTTTGACGTTACATTCCAGCAGTATGCAAGAAAATAAATGAACTTAGTTGAAACTGGAACTGAAATGGCTAGAGTACAGTAGAGATGCATAGAGAGATGCAGGGAGAGACAAATAGAATGAGTCAGATATTTCACCGCTTTGAACATTTAGTGACTTCGTTATATGGTTCATGTCTGTTGAAATGATGAGGTTATTAACATTCTATCACACCCTCGTGAATATAAACTGTTGAATTTCGTCAGATACACAGTAATTCAGTTACATGAGATCTGAAATCCTTGATCTTTTAGCCAAGAAGTAGAAGAATATTACTTTGTGACTGAAACATTCACTTGTTCACGGTTTTATTGACGTTAAATAGTCATAGTTTCACCGGAAGAAGAAAATGACTCCACAAATAGATACCTGAAGGTCTAGGGTCCGTTTCCAACAGGGTGGGATCATACGTCTGAACACAGCTGTGGCCTTTATCAGACTTAAATATGATATAACTGGCTATAAAGACTAACGTGTGCATTTCGTCTTAATATGGTGGTCGACTGTGTCTAAGTTATATCTTATGCAGTCTCTTTAATGAAGCTTAGTTCATGCCTAAAGTGAGTAAAGTCGTATGCTTCGTCTGAGAAATTTTACTTGAATGACTCAAGAAAATTTTCTGGAAGAAGTGCGACAGCACAACCTCATTACTACAAGTATCACGGCTTCGAATCTTCTAGATAGTAGAAGCAGTAGCAATCAGGCTCAAATGAGTTGAGTTATGTGTTCAAAATAGGTAAGTGTTGTTGCTACATTGTCTTGTCTTGATTCGAGACACGCGGCTATATTAGCATCCAATCTCATTTGATCTAATTTACTAATCTCATACTGTAAATATCTTTTCATTCCTATACTCTGAAATAATATTACCTCATTCTCTTAACCTGTTTTACCCCCTCCGCCCCGCCCCCCACCATGAGTAACATTCGATCAAGTTTCTATTCCTCAGACTATGTTCTCACTGTTTTAAGAAACTGTCGCCTTATAGAGGTACCTACGGTATGTAACCAGTTTGATCCTGAAATAGTGGTGAATATCTTTAGCTCAAATGGATGGTCTTGGTTGTATTGTGTTCTCCAAGCTGGGGTGTTTAATCGATAAGCGGAATCTGAATATTGTTGGCGTATAATTCCTCAATATGTACACATAACTGTAGAACTTCACAAAGTAGAAGTTATTGAAAGAAGATTTTCTTCATTCACTTTTATTCAATGATGATTGAGTACACAAAATCCACATGGATACCATGTAACATGAGGTAGTAGTTATGATTGAATCGCTGATGTACTGATGATGATGATGATGATGTCCAGCATGACGTTGAAGAACTTGTCAGACGAAACCTTAGCTCAGAGAAAAACTCGCTGTAAAAACTCATTGTCTAAGTAACAGTCATTCGCCACAGACATGTATCATCAGTTTTTGAGGGGTAATGTGACGTTGAATGCAAATCGATTTCACTAACAGATGTCTTGATAAGAAGTGTTAGGATATGGAAGCCATTAGGGCATGGTTATATAAAACACCGATTACTAGAACAATTGTTAGTTGGATCTGCTGACAGTCTTCAAGAATTGAAGGTGTTGAAACTGTCTATCGGCCTTTGTACATCAATCCGTAACTGGCATACTGAAAATGTATGTATTATTAAGTGGAATATTGTAGGAAACAGTAGCGATTAAATAGGAGATGCAAGATTTCTGCAGATCAAACTAGTAGCCCAATTTAATCCGAACGCAGAGAAACTGAACTTACCACCATCAGGAGTTTCTACAATTCTGGCCAACTTCACCTCTGAAAATGTAATCAACAGAGCTAGACATTAGCAGGAATACAATACTGTAAGAGCTCGACAAAATCATGATTATGGGAAATGTGTCATAACTGATTTAGGGCCTACGTTGGTCACCGAGATTCTGAAGATTTTGATGCGATATATACTTAGCCTTATACTTGCCTACATTACCCTTATGGCTTCGCCAATCCCAGGTTCAACTAACCTTTTTATACACATACAAAGTGTCAACCAAAGATGATTAATATAATTAACATTACCGGATACGTATCAATAAGAGTTTACACTAGGCAGACACACGGGACAACCAATGGTGAATGTATGCATAATGATGGATACAAGCACATGTATTTCAGTGTAATAGATGACTCAGCTAACAGTCTATTCGACTGCGATGGCTGTGACGTAACCAAGTCACAAACTTGCTGTGGGCTCTGGTACACATATAAGTATTCGAGTAAGGAGCTTTCCTCACAATCTTGAAGTGAAACCGTACTCATCTCAGTGACAGACACTGCCATTAAAGTCTCATAGGCTTCGGTGATGAATGCCACCTTCAGATTAGAAGATAGAGTTATCGAATAATGCAAAAAAACATTCCAATCCACCCACTCACAACCACATCTGAAGTCTGTCTGGTTTCCTCACGTTTGATTTCCTCGAACTCCACTCAGATATCTACTAATTATGGAAGCTTGATTGCCGAACACTATTTTCATCAGAATGATTCTCCCAGGGGTTGCCATAGAAAGAGTTTATGTCTTTGCCAAGAACAGAAATAATCGGTGGTTGAGTGCGGTCAGAAGCGATCAGATCTGACTGCCATGCTATAGCTAACAGTTTAACTCGCTTGAACAATAACCGTCGATCACCGTTCGCAAATACCTCCGATAGTAACTCATCTGAACCTGCTGTTTTTTGGGTTGGTCAGTGACAGCTTTCTTGACTTCACTATACTCTTCAACACTCAGGTAGATAGTGGGGCATCTTCACAGTATTCAGTGACCAGTAGAACCGTTCTTAAAACTTTCTTTGATAAATGTAAATATTTGTTTACTGGACGAATGGTCACAGCCCATTGCATCTCTCTAACCTTCACCATTCAATACAACGAGTGATCCCTGTGTAGACTGATTTTTCTTCTATTTGTCCCTGAGTACACGAGCTTACGGTCATGCATTTACACTCAAACATTATTTCGGAAAACATAAAAAACTTTCAGAGAGTCAGCTTCTGTCTTCAACTCTGTGTTATGTAGGGGACTGGCGATTTGCCCCCAGCCTCTTCTACATGAGTGATACTATTCTGTTAAGAATCATATCTAACCAATATCTTGTTGATGGTAGACTGAATACACCGCCGGATTAGCTGTACTCGGAATGGTCTTGTTTTTGTATCACTTTCAAGTCAATTTTAGGCTCAGACGTAAGCATGTTCGAACCAACATTTGATTCCTCCCAAATAACAGATGATAGTGATCAATGATAAAGTGAATGTCTCAACACACTTGTAGAAGGCGATCACAATTATTCACTCATTCTATTAAGATTCTAAAATCGCTCCCTGTTCAACTTGGCCTAAGAATAACCAACTGTGGGTTAAAATTACTTGTTATAATAGTTATATCTAAAGGTTTGGATTTCAGATGACGGCTAGATATTTTTCGATTGAACTAATCCTTTGCGTCATGTGATATATAGTGGGTGGATGAATAAGAAGAGGTTGCAAAGGAAAAATGACGAGTTTCACTATTCTATTTATTACTCGACTGTACTGTTTGATCGAGTGATGCGCAGGTGACTGTTAAATTGAGATCTAGAAAAGTAGTACATGTTTTCCCTTTGTAGTTATTGTTTCGCCTATATCTCCAAGATCATGAAGAAGTGGTTATCGTATATAAAGAAAGTGGATTGGTGAATTCGATAGATTCGCTGAATCAGTCATATGTTTTCTGTTGAATAATCACACTCAGATCGTTCATAGCAAGTGTTATAAGATCCGTAAGGAAACCGATCATTCAGATACGGTTATAATGCAAATTCATAAAAGTTAATAATTAGACTGTAAATCTCAAGAACTGAATTTACCGTCGACAGGAGATTCCAAACCTCTAAGATTCACCTCTAAAATTCCAATTAAAATACATAACATAAATCGATACACATGACTTAATCAACACAATGAATATAGTAAACGTGTTATATGTGATTGGTTGCGTGTATCGATAAAGCGAGACTTCGCTGATTTTGTTCAAGCTTAATATGTTTATGTTCGCTTTTCTACGCTACTGTTGGCAATTTTACTGCTTATCACAGTGATATTTGACTGCATTTAGTAATGGATTCTCTTTCTCTATATCATCTAGCTCCCCTTGTTGTGAATAAGAAAGCTTAAAAGAATTTCCATGAAGAAAAACTTCATTTTAACATGAATTTCATCAAGATAAAATGTTTTTCCGATATAATAATACATAAATGTGCAACAGTATTCCATCGCTTACAACTATGTCAAACATTTTTCCAAATAACAAATGAAATATCCTTCAGTTTTCGATTAAAACACTCCGAAATAATTAGAATTTTTGAGTGGTAATCGACATAGCTCAAGAACTGGTGAGGAATCATTCTACTGTCCATCCAAAGCAAAATATTATGCCATATCATCCTGAAGAGACTAAAAGATGCTCTGGATTCAAAATTACGACCATAACATGCTGGCTTCAAGAAGAACAGATCGAGTGAAGATTAAATTGCGACACTATGCTTCGCTTCAAAATAGAACAGAGCATAGAATGACAGTCATCTCTCCACCTCAACTTCATCCACTTTGTAAAGGACTTCGATAGCGTCAACCATGAAATAATTTGGAGGCTGCCTCAATATTGCGGTTTTAGTGCAACAAATCTTTATCAATCTCATTCAACAGCTAAGCTATATGACGAAACCACATACCTTTGAAATGAAGTGAAGACAGGAGTATGACAACGTGCCGCCTAATATCATCGATGATCTTTCTGATTGTAGTCGAATGAATCATGCAGCAAACTGTCAGGAACGAGAAGAGGGGTATACGCTTGCTGGAGCGATGAATGTCACGTAAACTCGAAGATGTACAAGTGAAGACTAACAAGTTGACAGAAGAGGTGAGGTGAGGCGGAGAAGACGGGAATTCAAGTGAATGTAGAGTAGACGTAGGTTATGAAGATACCCAACGAACAACAACAACAACGACAACCTCCAATCACCATCAGCGGAGAAATCTGAAGGAAGTAGTTTCTTTCACCTATCTAGGCGTCATCGTTTCAACTACAGGCAGTGGCACATACAAGGATATCAAAACCAGAATCGGAGAAGCAAGATAGACTTCTATTAATTTGAAATCAGTGTGGAGATCTACTGCATTTAGCATGAGGAACAATATCCAGATTTTCAACGCCAATATGAAGTCAGTGCTTCTATGTGATGAGACACACCCTCAACTTGACAAAGACCACATCAAATTCACTTTTTCTAGCCTATTTATCATCTTCAGTAATGCTAGAATCGTTTGATTACTTTCTAAACAGTCATGTAACATATCAAGAAGTTGGTAGCAACTTAAGTAGAACACTTTGAAAACATATCCGTAGTAGGTATAGCTAGTCTATGTGATTCTATCTCAGATTATCAGCTAGTTTGTCAATTTATGCCAACAGGTCAAGCCAACAGTACAGACAACCCTATATTTCAATCTGTTCTAACAAGATTTGCTGATGACTGCAAAATAGAGAAGTGAAGACGTCTTTACCTATACATATATAGGAACTCAGGAAGGGTTGGATTCATTTTGAAATATGAGAACTAAATTAACATTTGGGGTATCAGTAACTCACCGTTACTTCGAATTTTTCGTTTCTTCACAATAGCATTACTTGTGTCTTAAAATATAGTTTGAAAAAGTGTATGGTTAATCATAGAACGTTTACTAAACTCTATACACCAGTTTTCAGTAATTCGCCAATATAAAGGAGTAAAATACATCATGAATGTGACTGTTCACCATTGCCTTTACGGAGAAAAGGTATTATGGTATTCTGTGGTGTGTAAACTTAACGTGTAATCGAACTCTGCTACATGACTTAGCAAACGAAGTGGATTGTGTACACATATAACTCGTTTGCTCCCATGTTGTGTGACAACTTTACTGAACTATTAGAAATGAATGTGACTATTTATTTGTCGGATTAGGTTGTTTATCTTCATTTATGTTTGACTTGACGGTAATTCGTCTGATCCACCTCCATTGTGTTTCTCATCGTGTTTGAACATTCGTTGATTCAGGAATGTGAGTGCAACACTAAGGAATACCACAAATCTTTATCAATCTCATTTAACAGCTAAGCTATATGAAGACGCCACATGCCAAGTGATTGACAATGGAAAGCTCATTGATGCCTTCGAAATGAAGATGGAAGTAAGACAAGTCTGTCTACTATTACATGCTGGACCGATGAAAATATCCTAGAAGATTTGGATTTCGTCCATGATTACTTGTTTCTAATGTCACACAAACTTGAAGATATACAGTCAAAAACTAAAAAGTTGACAGAAGAGGTGAGGCAATGAAGACGGGACTCCCTTCAAATGAACGTAGAGAAGACAGAGGTGATGATGATACCCAATCAACGCCAACACCAGCAACAACAAGTTCTAATCACCATGAATGGGAGAAAATTAAAGGAAGTAGCCTCTTTCACGTTCCTACCTAAGCAGCATCGTTTCAACAACAGGCGGTGGCACACTCACAGACGAGCATGTCAAAGCCAGCCAGCATCGGAATAGCAAGCAATACAGGTGTTCCTGCATTAACCCGAAACCAGCGTGAAGATCTGCACTCAGCATAAAGAACAAGATGCGGATTTTCAACACCAATTCAGTCAAGTAAGTCAGTGCTTCTATATGATGGTTGAGAGACTTGACGCGTTACGAAAGATATTTCCAACTAGCTACAGATATTCATCAACAACTGCCTACACTGGCTCGTTACTGAAGATGAGATGGCCAGAATAATAGGAATAAGCAGCAAGGAACTCTGGCTTGTTGGCGACGAACCAACGAAGCAAGAACCTATCACCCAACAAATATGCAGTAGAAGGAAGTAGAGATGGACTAGGCATACACTGAGAAGATCATTCGGAGACATCACATGACAGGCTAGGTCGTCGAGTGGAACCCAGATGGGAAACGACATGTTGGGCGCCGCAGCTGAGGGTGACATGGAGGAGGTAGTGTGAGGAAGAATTGAGAGCTCATGGGCAGTGGTGGAGCCAGGTTCAAAAGATTGCAAAGAAGAGGGTGTATTGAAGACATGCTATTGAAGCTGTATGTTCCCCTTGGAACCCAAGGGAGAAATAATAATGATATAAGAATGTGAAAGGTGGATATCTTGTGATACTTGGCCTGCAGTTTTATGCAATCAGGTCAAAGATCATTTTGAATGATTTACACTTAGTCAGTCAATCATTTCGCATATGAAATGGTTCGACTTTTCACAAGGCATAACATCTCATGAACGTAGAATATTGGAAGAAGGGAATGAAAGAAATCATTTAGTCAGATAGTAAGGGAAAGCATTGAAATCTTGGTTGTAATGTGCTCCCTGGGCTGGGTTGTTTAATCGTGAAGCTTTCGTCATCTTTCTAAACGACATCATCAGCACTTCCCTTCAAGAGAAAAAAATGAAAAGGAGGACGAGAAAACGACGACTGAATATATAGATGATGGAAAATTAGGTGAAAGTAATGCGTTGATTTATTTGCGCCACTGACATGGTTATGAGCCACATTATCTACGATCTTCAACAGGTAGGCTTGGTTGCGATATATGGTGTGACCAGTTGCTAAATCATGTTTCACTAGCCTCCCATCGTGCCGTTCCTCAATATGATGATCTGCGTGTAGATTGTGTAGAATGGCACAATCCAGCTGAGATAAACCGGTGCAATAGGTGCGTTTCAGTCTCCTTAACAAAATGAGTAGATAATCAAATCAGTCAACAGTGTGGTGTACACGCGAATCGGTATCAACTGTAATTGCTAACTTGCCATCTCTTTGTTGTTGTTGAATTGTCACAACAACTTGTCGTGTCTCTGAAACAGCAGGACAAGCAAGGAGATAATTGATTGTATCAAGCGTAATATATGTGGATACACGTCCTACCGATACTTAAGCACACATCTACACGCCGACACAAACATGCACTGTAAAATCAACTGGGCATTGAATTCTACAAGAGCCCCACAAATGTACAACTGATGTCATCAAATGAATTGAGGATGGCCCGCAACAAGAGATTCATAGAGCTCAGCGTTCAACCAAATAATGTCTGAACTGGAACAGTAAACCAACCATTTCTTTGTTTTCGTGATATTTCCTGAGCAACTTGACGTCTCTCTAAAACGTTAGGATGAAAAAGGAGATTTTCAATCATATTAGAAATACTTCACATCCCGCATTGTTTATCTTCATATCAGTGTCCTTAGCTGAAATAAAATACCTAAAAGTTTGCTTTCAAGAAATCCAGTTTTCCTCTTTATTCCCTTTTTTCAAATGGGATCAAATATGCGTAAATATCCATCCATCCAGATCAGCCTAGGATCAGGCATTACTGAGTAACGGTCCGAACTGCCACACCTCATATCAGTACATCAAGTAAAAAGGCAGTGAGGTACAAGATGAAGATAAGAGAATTCAGTCAAAAAAAATATAAAGTACGAAGAGAAACGAAGAGTGCGAACGTGGCGAGATTCGGTATAGCGTCGTTAAGATAACGATAATGTATGTATACGTCTGCGCCAACGACATCGGTTCTGAACCATGTGATCACCTATAGTCTCCAACCACTGGTTTCTCTTGTACCGTGGATCCCAACCACCTAGTCTGCATCGTTCCACATGGCTCAGACCAACAGTCAGAGACTTCATACACTTATGCCATGTTTTAGTCTGGCCACCTCGGGCCTTTTTCCAGTCTGGACCTACTTCAGCCAACATTGTGTGATGAGACAATCGATGACTAGGCATACGTAACATGTGTCCCAACCATTTCAGTCGATGAAATTTCACAATCGCGCCAACCGACTTACCTTTTCTCTTTAAAACTCTATTCCTGACTTCTGCGTTACTCACATGGTGACACCATGGAATACGGTCTATACTACGAAGGCAACAGTAGTCAAATAACTGAGGCCTTCTCATCTCTTCTACACTCAGTGGCCATGTTTCACAGCCATATAGTACAACAGACTGAACTGCTGTGCAGTAAACGCGACCCTTAATAGACAAACAGATATCACGGAGGCGTCACAGGTGGCGTAAGTTGGCGAAATCCAGTCGAGACTTTTGTATCCGTGCAGAGATTTCATCGGCCACTGAGCCATCAGAGCTGATCCTACTTCTCAGGTTAGTGGAGTGGTCGACACACTCAACCACTACACTCACTCTCTATTGTTAGCCTAAGCAGTGTAGAAGACCAATCCTGAAGCAAGAATTTGCATTTGGGTGGTGAGAAACCCATCCCAAACATTCTCAAATTCCTACTCAAAGTGTTCACATGACTCTGCATCTCACCAGCCAGAGTCTTCACCTAACAGGACTGACTATGTCATCTGCATATTCTAGGTCTAACAAGAATTCTCCACCGATTAGGTCAACGTCTGTGTAATCAGGTGACGAGAGGGAAACCTCCATGGGAATATCTATGACTAAATTGAATAAGAATGAAGACAGCGGGCACCCTTGACGGACACCACTCAATGAGCATAGCTCACTGCACATCTCACCATAGACTATTACAGGCCAACAAGTGTTTGAGTAGAGAGCCTTCAATGTGGTGATGTACTTACTCGGTACGGCTTTCAGTGAGAGACATTGCCGCCATAAGATTTCTCGATCAACGGAGTCGAATGTTGCCTTCAGGTGGAGAAATACAGCAAGTGTCGGGTGCCGGTAAGCATATCTGTGTTCCGAAACCTGGCTCGGTGTGAATACTTGGTCGATACATCCACGGCTAGGTCTAAAGCCTGCTTGGTTTTCCCGGACATGTTGTTCCTGAGCTCCACTCAGGCGTACGAGAATTATAGAACCTAGGTTCTTGGACACTATGTTCGTCAGGCTGATTCCACTGTGGTTATCACAAGAGCACTTCTCGCCTTTCTTGAAGACTGGGATGATGAGTGACTCAGACCAGTCAGAGGGGATGGTATTTGATTCCCGTATGCTGGTTAACACTCCCGATAACCTGACTAATAGCACTCCACCACCATCCTTGTATACCTCTGCAGTTTGTCCGTCTGGTCCTGCTGCCCCTACTCGTTTCAGGTTACCTACCACCTTCTCAAATTCTGGTAGTGTTGAGGGGCCTACCTCAGTGTTCCATTCAGGATCCTACTGGATAGTGGGCAACGCAATGCTGGCTGGAGGCCATTAAACTGTTCCTCGAAGTGTTCTACTCGTCGTTCCAGTCGTCTCCCCTGTGAGTGAATCGCAGATCCGTCTTTCTCCGCTATGATCTCACGAATCGCAGTCTACCTTTTCCCCCCAGTTTCACTAATAATTCTAAATAACTGTCTACTGTTACAAATCGCCGCAGCCTTTTTCAACTCTTTAGCGTTCACTGCTCACCATTGTTCGCGGTCATTGTGTAGAATTTTTCTCAGCCTACTTTTAAGTTGCGTCCGCTCTTCATTGTATTCGGGGCCTACTGAGACGCGTTCACGTGCATTCATTAGGTTGGAAGAAGCTGCTGATATCCACTGGATCTTTTTAGCCACCCTTTCAGAGTCGGCTACGGTCTTTAGCGCTGCTTTTAAGGCAGACTGGAGATGGTACCAAGATTCTTCTGGATGAGTGGTAGTCTTCTGTTACGATAACTGCCTATCGATGCATAAATATACTTCTTTTCGAAAGCTTTATATACTATCAAGTCGATCCCCCAAAATTCCTGTGGTAGCATATGACACCGACAAAATGCCCCGCAGTCATTTCTATAGAAATGATTGTGAATTCACATAAATTACATGATTCATGAAAGCGTCGTTGATGCATAAACTGCTCACTTAAAATCATTATCTGTACGATAATTTGAATTATGCCTTAGCAAACGCATCAGAGGAAACATTCCCTGAGGAGGAAAGTTTTGAAACTATCTGGCTAAGATAAAGTCGAGAATAAAGACAATCACATTAGGTAGCCATGAACTGAATCTCTGGAAGCTGCGGAGCAGTTAAGAATAAATAGATGGTCTGAATAAACGTTGGATTTCGCATGGAAATGCTTCTACTCATGCCCTCACACTTTGCAGCTTCGCCTAATGAACAACCGGATGAAAAAGGCCAACAGTTAATTAAACAAGCCTTGATTGTTATATTCCTGTAGATCACAGCCGTTGAGTCAATACTTTCCTCAGATGAACTTTCAGAGACTTCATAAACGGCCGCAATATCTTGATCTAGCTAGTCTGAACCATGTTCTAACACAGTTCTACTTCTGTTGTCATTGTATATAAAGGAAGACAGTTATTCAGTATACACGGCACACTTCCAGCATTCCAGCTCAATCGTCAAAGGCTCACAACCTTTTTGACTGACATGCTTTCCTGGATAAGTATCATGTATGTTAGTTCGATACTAATCAAATGATGATTCCATTCTCCAGGAGTAACGCAAAGAAAAAACCTGTTAGATTGCTCATTTGATATAGTAGAGGATGTCACTATATTATTTTGCCATATGAAGTTTTGAGTAGAATTTACAGCCCATATCCATATCCCTCGAATCATACGACCATCGGACTTCCTTTGTATATAGTCCGACAGTTTATCATTCATTTATTTTGTGGCAGTAAAGGTTTCTAGGTATGTATTCAAAATGATTCTTGTCTGTTATATGTCCTACGTCTGTTGATTCACTGACCAAAAGTTCTATGATCAACATCTCCCTACATATTTGTTGGACAATAGGTTCTTCCTTGGTTCCTGATGGGTTCATTGGCAGTCGAAGTGAGTTCCTCCCTCCTTATTTCCTCTCTCCATCTGATCTGATCTACAGTGAGCGTAAGCAGCAGCTGTTGATGAATGTCTGCAAATTGTTAAAGCATCACTTTGAAGCACTGATTTAACTGACATCAGTGTTGAGAATCTGGGCTTTTATATCATTTCCTGTGAAGTGTAGTAGACCTCTAGATTATTGAAGGCCTGTCTTGCTGTCTTACTTCTAATGAACTCCGCACCATGTGTTCATAGTGTATAAGGCTAATAACTACATATGTTTTTACTTCATCAGCTGATTGCAATTGGTCAACTGAATCAGGTGGATAACAGGACAGGCTAATAACTGAACAGTAGAGAAGTGTAAATGACTTCCATGATTCAAGATGACAACTGGAACTTAGAACATGTCCAATTAAGCAGTGTTCGTGAGATTTATACTGATATAAAAACCGTTTGAGAATGATTAGATTGAAAAGTACGTTTAGAGAAACGGTAACTCACTGTCGCTTAACATTCGTAATTCTCTTCGATCAGTTTCCTTTGAGTCTGAAAAAGTAGAATGAACAAGGATACAGTTATTTACATCATGTGTACTACATGTCATTCATCTGTGATCAAGAATTCACCGAAATAATCCTAGAATATGGTCTTCAGTCATTCATTATACTAGTTATAACGATTGCTGAATTCAAAGCCCCATTGATATCATCAATGAATAACATGTAGAATGATAGGTAATGTCTGCTCTGAGTACAACTGACTTGTCAATGTAGACAAGTATAGTAGCAATCATAGTCAAATTATGCAATAATGTGTTTATATACATGTGAATAGTGTTGGTAAATATTTACTTATATCAGTGGATACCAGATCTAATCGATTTGCAAGTTGAAGAACGAAAACAGTGACGAACATCACCAACATTCAAAGGTATACAAAGTATTCTTCTGAAGTCCATCCAGATCAACCTAGGACCAGGCATTATTGCGTAACGGTCCTCTGGTGTATTCCATTTTATACCTTATCTGTTGATATTCTGTACTGAAATATGCCTGTAAAGGTGAAGGTTTTACTTGACTGGTTTGAGCACTGTGTCTGTCTGTGGTATTGTTATATTTACACACACAGACATACAAACTTTGATAGGTCTCTTTCCATTTTTATAGATGACTTTGAAATAGGGATTTCAAGAGCTGGCGTCATTCATATTCACGATATGTTTGATTATAGCACTTCCTATAGCTGCATTGTTACCTTTTTGTAACCATACAAGATAGGGTTCTTGAACCTTTTTGGATAACAGTCTTATCAAACAAGAGCAGGTGAATTGATGTAGGCAGATAGAAGTGATCAGATGCGAAAGTTGCTACTTTGAGTTGTTAGAAGCCATTTAACTAAACGATCCTGACAGTGATAATGTGAACGGCAGATATCTTGTGATAATCTAAATGTAGTTTATCTTTATCACTACAAGGATTATTTCTCTAAAATTTCAGTCAGTCTAGATGTCACTCAGTCAGTTCACACTGACTTTGAGCATGGAAATACAGCGAAATGTTTCAAGTTTACACTTAGCATATCTCCACAAGAAGTTGTAACGTACAGGAATCAGTTTGAAGGTCAATCAAGAAAAAATCTTCGACTTAAAAAGAGAATGAGTAAGGGAATTTGAACGGATCTACTGTTAGCATAATTCGATGAAAGTAAGCTTAGAATGACGCTAAATACTGAGATGGTTATGATCTATATTGCCTGAAATTTTCAAGCGACAGTTTCGGTTATCAACTTTACGCATGTTTTCTTTATAAATTCGATATTCTACGGTAATCATGGTGGTGCCAATTGATGTTTTCTATAGATAACGGATTTTTTGGTTTTCGCTGAGATAAAGATTCACGTAGGTAGACACGGTAGTTATTGGACTGATTCCTATGTATTAATCACTCAAGATAATCTCCAACTTCTTCAACACTCAAACTGTGCAATAAAATATCGTAAATCCTTGTGTTCCTCGATATAGAAACATTCATCAATGCACAAAGGCGTCCACTGCTTTCTGTTGTCAGTGCCTTTTCGACCTCTCTCACATTTACTACTCATCACTACTCATAGTCATTGCGCATCCTATTCGTCCGTCTACATTGATATAGCTTCTACTCAACCTAATGTTTCGTACCTGCACCAATGAATGCAAGTAAGTCCAGTTATTCGGAGATACCTGGTGCGATAAACCGACATTTTCTGAAGGTAAAATTTGCAAAATGTATAACTAAAAGGTCCCTGCAATGACAGACTTCTTCGAGATAATCGATACTGTCCAGTTTGGATTAACTGACAAGCCAGTATTTCGTTTAAAGCAGCCTTTGTATTCCTACATTTGAGATACAATCCGAATGATTTTCTGGCTTCTTCCCATACACTTTCATTAGGTTGGCGACGTAGTTGTGGATGAGTCAACGCATTATCACTTTTCGTATGTGTGCTTCAGAGCAAATCGCAATCATCTAACCAATCCCTGCCCAGCGATAAAAAACAACATGGATTGGTAAGTTGACGTTGATAAACAGCAAGTTAGAAAGCGTTCGAGTTGTGCTAACAAAAAATGGCTGACTATCTAGATAAATATGTAGCAGAAGTTTGGCGTCAACTGACGACCGACGCTTTGCTGAGAACATGAAGTGGTGTGAAGACTTGCAGAGACACGAGAAAGATTGTTCATAATCTGGTATGAAATTATTGTCAACAATGATGGTAGAGTGGCTGACACACTCATAATAATCACACCATGGAAGATTGCTGTCTGTTGAAAAATATGTAAGTGAGATTGCATTCTTGAGAGTACCACATGAATACACAGGTCAACGAGCACCAAACTGAGAATTGTCTCAAACTGCCTTCCTGAACATTTCAAACGTGAGAGTGATTGTCTCATATTCAACTGGAAGTGTTGTTCAACAGATTGTTGTGTCTCTGAGGTCTGCGTTTTGTAACACCATATCTACTGAATGGGTTGCACAGAAGCAGAATAGAATGGTGATAATTCTAGGGTGAGACTCTCCCACAGACACAGTCAATCAAGCCACCACTATGAATTCACCATCGACTTACTGTTGACAGAGTTGATAAGTACATTTTAACATCGCTGATAGCATTTCTTTTCAGAAACATTCAACAGATAATCCTGGTATGAAAAAGGCTCTAGGAATAGTAATTCACATTCACACAGATCGTCGAATTATTCTGATATGGAAGCTGAGTTAGTGACGATCGGTCATGCCTAAATACACATAATGTGGACGATTGAGAGCAATGTGTCTACCACCACCTCTTCTCCGAGGAATGAGTGAATATCAGCCTGGGTATGTTTATAACGAGTTATCTACCATCAGAAGATACTGACACAAAGAAAACATACTAACAACTGCTTGGTTTTGTTGGTGAGAATCAATTGTGAATCATGATATGGTATAATAAACTGAGACAGATCTAAATTATGAGTAGAGTATATATATATATAGGTTATGCAAGGAGACAACTGATTTTACCTGTAACTAGAACGAAAAAGGCTAGAATGAAGAAGGGAGAGACAGGGTGAAACAAATGGAATGAATTAGATATTACGAAAAGTTTATACAAATAATGATTTCCTCATATTGTGAATGTGTATCGAAATGTGATCGTGAACGTGAGCACTTGTAGTAAGCTGGATGAGGTACTGATCATTGTTATCTACACTCAACTAGTACCAATCCCAAGATGTTTTCAGCTGACAGACGATTGACAATTGAGATATTAGTTCATGACATGGATTTGTAATGTGTTATATGAATCATTAATGTGTCAGTAAGCATAATCGATGAGTGAGCTGTACGATGCTACACTTGTTTGCTCACTTCATACATATTTGATGTTGAATAGACAGATATGTGTTTAAACGTCCTATCCTATTTCCATTAGATATTCAGTGAATGTATACATTGAAAACATTAACTTGTTCCATTAGGTTACTCAAGCATCAGTGACGACAAACATACTAAATGAAATCTTGTGAAATCCACGTGTCTATATACTCTGAGTTTTGGATATATAAAAATTCGAAATGAAAATCCAGTGGAAGTGAATAGTTCAACAAGGGGAGGGGGAATGGGAAATATGATCATTCTCACTTGTTGCGTAACATTTTGTGATGTATCTATAGAGTATATCTGAAATATCTATAATAAAAAAAACACGACTTTCAGTCAAGTATACGCAATTATGACACTGATAAGAATACTATACAACAGAGAGTGGTGAAGAAACTGATTTACCACTGACACATTTAAGTAAGTTTACAGTATTAAGCATTCCATGAGTGAAGGTTATCACTAGGGCTTCATATTTCATTATGCAATAAAGGTTAACATACCAGAATCTTCATCGATCTTTTTACTGGCACCTGTCATACGGAATAGAAAGTGTACATTCATCAATCAAATCAAATCATACTTGAATACATCATGACCAAGCATATTGTCTTATTTTTTTCTGACTAGTATATGAATGTATCAGTACATTTGATTCCTCCTGCATGATCTCCTTCATCAAAGGGAATGCACTGTTGATCCACGTCAGTAAGTAACTTCAGTAAAACTTCATCGAATACCTTTGATCAACGCTGTTCATCCTAACAGAATTAATCGTAGAGGTATTCATCAATTGCTCTTTTGTAACTGCATTCGTTGTTAATATACATTATGCACTGGCTTCTACTCTCATTCCATCAAAATGAGTTGTTGAGTTTGTAGTGATGAAGGATTTTCAGATGACTATTTCTATCAACTACATACATCCAGGGTCGGAAAAACAAAATAAGCTTTTACTAATCTGAAATCAGTGTGGCGATCTACTGCACTCAGAACAAAGAACAATATCTGAAATTTTCAAAATTAATGTCAAGTCAGTGATGCTATGTGATGGTTCAGAAACTTGGCACATCACGAAAAGTACTTCTATCAAACTACAGACATTCATCGACAGCCGCTTACGCTCGATATTGAAGATCAGATCACATGGCCAGAAAGAATAAGCAACAAAGAACTCTATGAACGAACCAACCAAGAACCCATTGCTCAACAAATATGCACTGGAAGGAAGTAGAGATGGATTCGGCATACATTGAGAAGGCCGAGTGGGGATATCACGTACCAGGTTAGGCAATCGAGTGGAATCCAAACGGGAAACGACCAGTTGAGCGTCCATGGCGAGCGTGACATAGAGGAGATCAGGTGAGGAAGAAATAAGAGTTTCTGGGTTGTGTGGCGTCAGGTTCAAAAAACTGAAGGGGACAGAGAGGAATGGAGGCGTGCTATTGAAGCCCTATGTTCCAGTAGGAACCCAAGGGAAAAATAATAAAGATAATAATAAACCAATTCATCCTCGAAGCCACTCGTCACACACGAATATCACAGTCCGTGAGTATCTCCGTTTCTGAGGCATCAGAATGTGTACACAAACTTACTTGTAAATTCATTTGGGTGTGTTGCTACTGGGCCATTACTGATGTAATCAGATTCAGGAATAACTGACTATCACGGATTCTTCACTGTATATATCTTTCAAGTCAATCATACTATGCGAATACTATGATTGTTTCACTCACCTTGTTGTCGAGACTCCATCATCGATACAGTCTGCATATCTGGAAGAAACAAAATGTAAGGCGTCATCTGTGAACCATATTACTCTTTTCCATAACTTTCCATCATCTTGAAGCAATTGTTTGCTATCCATTTACAAAACATTCGCGCATAAATCTTCTTCCTTATTTCCTGTCTTCCTACATCATCTTCATACAGCTAGTTTTAATCATTCATGCAACTTCAACCTTGATTCTATGTTTCACAGTTAATAGTTATCTCATTACTACGCTATAATGTATTTCATTCCCCTTGAATATTTACTGCCTCATCGATGTGAGACTAATAAATGTAGGCAAGGTATTATGAAATTCAGTTTGACTGTCGCACTCATCTTTGTACCGAAAATATAAACATATTAACCATTGAAAATGAATCCATACGACTTATCAGATAAGAAATGATTACTTCAATCGAACACTTCACAACATGTTTAGATGTAAACCGCATTTTACTCTGTATGATTTTGCCTCATATGACACATCGACTTGTCAGCTCATTTCGACAGATTATCAGATCATGAAGATAATCGCGTCGTTTGATGCATTTGGGTCAGACATGCTAATATCTATACAATAATAAGGAAGTGTTAATCACCTACAAAATATGGTATGACCACTGTGATTACCTGCACGCAGGAATTTAGTAAGGTATGAATGGCTCAGTATTCATGAGATTTGCTTTGAAATCTCACCTTTCTAAGAAATATCTGAAATCGAAAAAATGAAAGTGTTAAGACCATGGTAAGATGAGAGATTGAACATACTTTTCTTGCACGCAGAAATCAGGCTTGAATTGATGAATCGCCAGTGCCTCCATTGTGCACAACTGTCGAAAGCGTACTCCTTTTGAACTATTCCATCTGACAGGATAAATGACATTGAAGGAGGATCCTGATCTAGCTTTGTGTCCAGAGTTGACCAAATGTTCAAGAATTGAACTGTTAATTGATTTACATTCTCCCCTTGACAACCATACAGGATAGTGTTCCGAGATATATTTGGAAAGCGTGCGCTTTGTGCTGCCTATATAACTAGCTCCACAGGAGCAAATAAATTTGTAGACACATATAGAAGTTGCCCAAAGTAGCAACTTGTCCTTAACGCGCTTTGGAATGAGAAACTGATCTGCAGTTTGGCAGGGAAGAATGTCTTCTTCAGTGACCTGGATAGCCGATTTTTCAAGATCTCTGTTGCCATATCGCCTTAGGAACTGTGATTACTCACTCGGTGTTCTGATTTACTTTCAAGTTCTTATCGATAAGTCTGGATGGATATTCATTTTGCATGAGGATCTTGTGTAGTTTATCTAGTTGTTCGTCGATAGTATCGCTCGTGGAGATTCTTGAAGATAAAGAATGGATTAGATTCCTCTTTCTGCTGAGAGGTATCCAGCTGTGGAAATTCAAATATTGTCCTTTCCAAGTAGGCTTCCTATAAATTGATTCCTGAAGAGAAGCATCTGGTCTCCGTTTCAATAGGCTGCTCAAAACGCACGCTTTCCAAATGTATCTCAGAGCACTATCCTGCATGGTTGTCAAGGGGAGAATGTAAATCAATTAAATGTTCAATTCTTGAACATTTGGTCACCTCTGGACATAAAGCTAGATCAGGATCCTCCTTCAATGTCATTTATCCTGTCAGATGGAGTATGCCTTCGACAGTTGTGCACAATGGAGGCACTGGCGATTCATCAATTCAAGCCTGATTTCTGCGTGCAAAAAAAGTATGTTCAATCTCTCATCTTACCATGGTCTTAACATTTTCACATTTTTTCGATTTCATTATAATTAATTAGTCTATTATTGTCATCTTCATTATGACCATTGACTCATTCTTCACCTTCTTTAATTATCTGAAAAAAATATACATACAGAGATCGGGTAACTCACCATCTTTTCGTGGTAGTTGTTTTTCCGGACCATCTTCTTGTTGAATGTCTGAAATCGTGTCATGAATGCAACAGATTATCAATCACATAAAGTTTAACATACGGCCTGCATCGTCAACCAGATATCAGTGATTTCTTAACAAAGTATGTGTCCTGTGTTTCCTCATGATTACATGGAAAGATTTTCACACCTACGCATCATTTTCAAACGCCGATCGTTACAGCTGAATCCGGGTGATCATTTTAGAAACCGTGGAAGCCCTGGTCGTCACCATTCTAAATGTATTCAAATGCTTAGGACAGAAGATTTTCACAAAACAATCACGATTACAAAACCTTAATAAGTATTATTATTATTTGTCCCTTGGGTTCTTAATGGAACATAGGGATTCAGTAGCACGTCTTTAGTGACCTCTGTTCTCTGAAATCTTTTGAGCCTCGCTAGACGACAGCCCTTATCCTCTCATTTCCTTCTCGCAAGATCTTCTCCACGTCACCCTCGCCTTGGACGCCCAACTCGTTGCTTCCAATTTGGCTTCCACTTGACGCCATGGCTTGGCACGTGATATCCCCAGTCATCCTTCTAAGTGTATGCCCAATCCATCTCCACTTCCTTCTACTGCATATTTGTTCAGCGATAGCTTCTTGCTTCGTTGGTTTGTCACCAGAGTTTCTTATTATTTCTGGCCATCTGATCTTAAGTATCGAGTGAACGTAGGCAGTTGTTGATGAATATCTATAGTTTATTGGAAATGCCTCTCGTAACGCGACAAGTTTCTGAGCCACACAGAAACACTGACTTGATGTTGGCGTTGAAAATCCAGATGTTGTTCATGCTTTGTGCTGAATGCAGATCTCCACTCTGGTTTCGGGCTAATAAACACCTGTCTTGCTTTTTCGATGCTGGCTGGCTTTGACGTCCTCATCTGTGCCGCCTGTAGTTGAGACCGTGCTGCCTAGAAATGTGAAGGAGGCTACTTCCTTTGGGTTTCTCCCGTTGATGGTGATTGGAGTTTGTTGTTGTTGGTGGTGTTGTTGGTTGGGTATCTTCATCATATCTGTCTTCTCTATATTCACTTGAAGTCTCCTCTTCGCTACCCTGCCGCTTCTGTCAATTTGTTAGATTTCGTCTGTATATCTTCAAGTTTGTGCGACATCAGACACAAGTCATCGGTGAAATCCAAGTGAAAATGTACACATATGTTCCAATGTATACCGTTTTGGCATTCAATGTCTGGTGTGAATTTAGATCACCTCAATTATATGAAGTGTTCTGTAGTGTGTCAGTTCACTTTAGAGTTGAACTTTGAAGTAAGAATGAGTAGGTGAAATGAAAGTCGCCACATCACAAATCACCAAGTGAATCAGCCTGAAAACTATTCATAAATTGTGTTTGAGAGTAATAATGGACAAAACTGTCAGCTGAATTTGATAAGATGACTGAGATTCCTTCATGATTGTGCGTTATTTCACAGACGTTTTACCTTCTGTCTTCAACAGACATGTATGTTTTTTGCACTCACCTGTGCAACTATTTACTTATCTTCCACATAGCTTAGAACTGTATTCAGATATTTTATGGAATAGTGTCTATCTTCTATCGTCGATTTTAGCATGTTTTGACGATGATCCCGACATCCAGTGTTTTCCCTTACTGAGTTTCATGAACGCACTCGACGACCATACAAGCTAGATTTGCAGACATTGCTTATATCAGACTGGTTTCTGTATGGTCACAACACTAGGTAATCCCTGCCTTTGTCAACTAACATCAATGTTCTTGGTTGTATTGTGCTCACTGAGGAGCTGCATTGTTTAATCGTGAAGGTTTCATCGCCTTGCTAGATGACATCACCAATCATGCGGACATTCGACCAAGTCACCAACAGAATTCTTATAAGAGATCAAAAACATTAAGTTAGAAAACCATGATTTGCTGGTATCCTTCGATGTCACAGCATTATACACATACGTCGAACCTCAATTGGCCAAGGAAACGATATCCCTCTTGATCAATGAAGATAAAAACCATTCAGAAGGCATAAAACTCAAATGTTCAAGTATGGTGGAACTCATAGACTTTTGTCTGACAACATACTTCCAATTCAACGGCAAGATATACAAACAGATGAAAGGAACTCCAACGGGATCACTGATATCCCGATTAATTGTAGATGCAGTGATGCAGAGACTGGAAGCCATTATCCTACCTGTGATCAATCTAAAAATTTGGATTCGCTATGTAGACGACACTTTTGTTATCATTAAAAAGGAGATGATATAGAAAACACCCACAGTTTGATCAACAACGTTTTCAATGACATCAAATTCATAGTGGAGAAGGAGTCAAATAACTAACTACCATTCCTTGATGTTTTAGTCACTAGGATAAATCCCGGAAAGCTGGAAACCCAAGTATACAGGAAGCCAAAACACCCTGAACAAATCCTCAACTAAAATATCAATAACCCAACAACACATATAATCAGTTGCGTGCAGACTCTATTCAAAAGAGCGAGAACACTCTACGGAGTACAACAACTTCACTTAAAAGCCAAGAAAATTACTTGATGTCCACCCTTAAGAAGAGCGGCTACCCACGAAACTTTATCAGAAGATGCCTATCTCGTGCATCACCAACTACAAAGTCATCGACAGAAATCAATAAACGTATCATCTTACCGTACATAAGGAATATATTAGAAATCACGACAAGATTAATGAAATCACATGGAATAGGTATAGCTCATAAACCAACAAATTCTCTCGAAACACTATTATGCAGACCAAAGAATGAAACAATCAAAGAAGACAAACCGAATATCATTCACAAAATCAACGGCAACAACTGTAGTCAACACACAACATTGGCCAAAGTGGCCGCCATCTTCGCTTTCGTCTACCATGAGCACCAATTGGTTATTAAATGCTACGATATTTCGTCACTCATTTCAATGTACGTGGATAACAACCATGAACATGAATTGAATTTTGACAATGTAGAAATCTTGAACAGAGGAAATACAAAGAGTGTCAGAGAATTCCTAGAAGCTTGGCATTCAAGTCAGTCAGTCAGCAATCAACAGATGTATAGACATAGACCCAATCTATCAACCAATCTGAAAAATGATAAACGACAGAAAGGGGAGAGGTGAAGCAGAGGAACAGCCAACAGGAAAGTCTATACAATCAATGATACAACCAATCACAGACCACATCGTCAGAGCAAGCTACTAAATCACTCACGGAGAGATACTGACAGCTCACTTCATACTGAAGTTAGTGGTGATGTCGTCTAGCAAGACGATAAAAGCTTCACGAATAATTAACCCAGTTCCTCAGAGAGCACAAAACAACCAAAACCATCCACCTGAGCTACAAATATTTTCCACTATTTCAACATCAATGTTCCCTTACTATAATCTCTCCAAATATTCAGACATCGAACACAATTTTCTGACCCTTCCGAAATAGCTTCCACTGCTACTTGATCCCGATTCATTCTCATCCAATCAAGCATTAACTACTTACAGTCATTGTGCCATCTATTCATCCACCTACATTGAAATTGTTTTCACTCAACCTTGTATTTCGTGCATGATCTCGAATATACAAGTGCATATCATCGTTCAAAGACACTTGATGCAATAAACCAACATTTTCTGAAGATACGTTATATGAAGAGTTCAACTAAAGATTGACGTTTATTACAGGCTACATCAGAATTATCGATACTGTCAATACTGTGCTCAAGCAAAAGCATAGTCACTTTCCTATCACCGGATCGAAACTAATGTCAAATTTTAACCATCCACTGTCTACAATGAATCATAGCAATACCGATAACCTTAGCCAAAGTTCAGTCCATCTTTATATCAGAAGTTATTACCTGAGAGAAAAACGGGGTTCTCTAAACAAAGTTGCAGCAGGTCAGGTATGTTCTGTAATCACACACATGTGTCTTCACAGCAGGTTCGAGTCTCACCTCACTGTGTGACAGTGGAATCCATGATTCCCACACTGCTTCAGTCTTCCTTCTATCATCCTCTTCACACTGCTTCATCCACACACATATCAGTGAAGATGAATGTCTATTTCACACACACACACACACACACACACACACAATGACTACGTTTGCTAGTCAGTGAATGACTGACTGTGATTTGAAGTATCCGGCAATGTGGAATGAGGAGTATGGAATCTCCATTATGGTATGCGTGTGACAGATGAATTGCTGTTGGATGAATGTGTGTATGTGTGTGTGTGTGTGTGTGTGTGTGTGTGTGTGTGTGTGTGTGTGTGTGTAGCTGGTAAACAGGTGGAAATTGAGATACTCCTTCACATCTGGGAACTGCCTTCTCTGAAGAGATACATTTCATGAATGAATTTCACGTTGCTTCCAGCTGTTGTTCACCTCATTTACTTTCGATAAAGAAGATAGGGTAAATATGTTTATTCTTGTCAATCGGTATTCCCTGTGTATTCAATGAATCTGTTTACTGGAAGTACCACTTCATTCTATGAAGTCACTGGCGCATTCATGATGGCAAATACACTCATTGAAGTGCTGTTAAGTGTATGTGTTGTTATGCTGTCTATTTGAACTGCATGCATTGCTGTAGGCCAATCAACTGTGTACACTATCTGAGTACAGAACGTATGCCCATTCTCAATGCTAATTTCTCTCCATCGATCCTTTGTTTGTCTTGGAGTTCGAGTAGTGTTGTTAGCTGAGTGAGTATACTCGCACATAACTTCAAGATGCTTTCAGATCAGATTTAATGTAGAAGGAGGTTGATAAATTAACATGATACAGGTGGAAATATATGGTAGACCAGAAATGTCTTAGCTAAATGAAGTGATTATGATTCAATGTGCACGAAGCATTCCTTGCGTCAGGAGAAATGTGTGCATGGAACTTAATCCTCAACAATATGAAATCAACACACAGTATAAAAGAAGTAATTATCCCATTTCACTCTCTTAAACTACATTTGCAAGACGTTGAGGGTAAATCATTTTACTTTACAACAATGCGAGAGTACT